TCTGTCTGTGGGTTTGGAAGCGGGGAAGGATGTTGGTTCCTACCCTTGTAGGTTTGTGCACAGTGACTCTATCATCCTTACCATCACTCTTAAGTAAGGTTCATTTTGGTGTATCCTTTTTAGATGAGGAATCTGGAGTTCAGAGAAGAAAGTTGCTCTGAGCGCCAGAGCTGGCATTTAAATCCAGGTCTGCCTGACTAAAAGGTTTGGTTCTTTTTACTCTACGAGCTCTTGGGGATACCAGCCACATCTCTGTACTTACACGATCATAAGAATTTCAGCAGCTTCACCTCTCTGTTTTCTCATGAAATAGCATCAACTAAATTAAAATGAACAGGAACCTACCTTTGTGCTCTTGCTCTTCTCTGATAGAAGATTGAAGAAACTCAGTGCTCATGAATGAGAAAGTGTTATTCCTTCGGGAGGGGCGGGAGGTGATTCCAAGAGAGATTGCAGAGGAAGGCAATATTTAACTCAGTGCCAGTTGTGTGGCTTTAGGTATAATTGGGAGGTGGCTTGAGTCAGGGCTCATCTTGGATCTTTCTCTGGTGACCAAGTGGGTCTTTATCTAAGACCCTCTTGAATACGCCCCTCCCATTAAAATAAATCAGAAAGCCCTAAGAGTAAAATTTTTAAAAATTGAATGAGAGAGGGAGAGAAAGATACATCAATTTGTCATTCCACTTATGCATTCATTGGTTGATTCTTGTATGTGTCCTGACCAGGGATTGAACCCACAACCTTGGCATGTCAGGATAATCCTCTAACCAACTGAGCTACTTGGCCTGGGCCTAATAAGCAAAATGTAAAATGCAGTGGATAAGAAAGGTTTCAGAAAGGGCAGTAGGGCAGAGCCCCAAGTCTGGGGGTGGGGGTGTGGCCTAGAGCTGGGTAAGTAAAGGGAGAACCTTGGCCAAGGCTCAGACCTTTTCCTGCCATAGACCAGCCTCTGCTCTCTGGAACTGCCTATTCAGGTTTTCCCCTCAGTCGAGCCCTACAGGCCACACTTCTCCAAGCCTCTGGCTCTCCTTTGCTCACCCCTTGGATGTGCTCCACCTGGGCTGGTGTGGAGTGGGTGCACAGTGCTGCTTGTGCACTTGAGGGCAAAAGACCAGTCCTCCCCTTTCTATTTCTGTGGAGATGACTTCCCCCAGCAGACTCTTATTTGACACTCCAGCTGGGCCTGATCTCCCCCTTGATTTCAGACCTGATGTGCCTGGGGCTGAGATGGCTCCTTGGCTGTCTTTAGAGTACACTTGTGATTTTGCCCCTGGCTGGGGTGGCTCAGTTGGTTGGGCATCTTCTCATGCACTGAAAGGTTGCTGGTTCCATTCTTGATCAGGGCAAATGCTCGGGTTGTGGGCTCCATCCCCAGTAGGGGTCATGCAGAAGCCAGCTGATGGATGTTTCACTCTCACATCAATATTTCTCTCTCTCTCTCTCTCTCTCTCTCTCTCTCTCTCTCTCTCTCTCTCTCAAAATCAATGAAGTAATCAACCAAAGACCTTGTATGCATATATGCATAACCCATGGACACAGACAATAGGATGCTGAAGACCTGGGGGGCGGGGCTGGAGGGGGTCAATGGGGGAAAAGGGAGAACATATGTAATATTTTCAGCAATAAAGAATAATTTTTTAAAAATCAATGAAAATATTTTTTAAAAATAGAGTACACTTGGGATTTTGGACTGAACATGTGGTTTGCTGGCCATCCTTCATAGTAGTTGCTATTGCTCTTAAGAGCTGGGAACAGTCAGGCTGGTTTTCTTCAGTGAGAGCTTGCTTGACATGATCTTAAGTGAGTGGTAATATGCCCTGGGAAATCCCTCCTAGGAACCTTCCCCCAAGGGGACCTGGACTGCCTGTGCCTGGGAAGACAGGGCTTCCCAGAGAGGAAGAGGATAATGCTGGGAGAACCCAGGCACCCTTGTCTCTTGCAGTTAGACAAGTTCCTGGTTGAGCTGGTGTATAAGTGGGAGGGGCAGGAGAGCAGAAGGATTGGCAGAGCTGGAATGGGAACCAAGCCTACTGCTTTCCAGGATCTTCTTTCTCCAAGGAGTTGGGTCACCCCCTGCAGGCCAGGAGCCCCCTTCACCCAGTCCCACCTGGGGGAGGGGGAAGCTGTAGCCCCAGCTTCAAAGCATGACTCACACTTGCTCTCAGTTTGGAGTGCAATGAAACAGGCAGTAGAGACCCCTGCCTCTTCTCAGGGAGATGAGTGACATTGCAGCCTTAGGCACCACATGGAAGCTAAGAATTGTTTTGCAATGTGCCTTTGATGGCCTTGGGTGTTTTTAGTGGATGACGGGATTTGGCAGAATCAAGGGAGGCTAGCAAGAGGCTCTTATGCTTGATTTGGAAATGTGACTCGTCCTCTATGATTTAAAGGCTTCCCTGGATAGTCAGCCAGAGAATCGGGGCATCAGAATGGAGGGATTGGAGGCGGGAGGGGGCCAGTGGGTGTCCCTGAGGGACTGGATGTAAAGAGAGGGCTACTCTACAGGGCAGGGGAGAAGCAGGGACAGACCAGTACCCCTCAGTTAAGAGCTCTTTTGCTCTTTCGTTTTCCAGGCTTGAAAGCACCGCCCTGTGCTCCCTCTCCTTCCCATCCACCCCCTCCTTGCTCTGTATTTGTCCGTGTCCTTAAAGGCCACAAGCCTAGGTGACCTCAGCCTTGGCTCCCCGCCATTCTCAGGCCTGACTCCTCTGGTAACTTGGGGCCTGTTTAGGGGCTTTGGCCCCTGCTCCGCTGTGTGGTCTGTTCACTGTCCTCCATCTCCAGGCCCTCTGGGGGTGGGAGAGAGCTGGGTCTAGGCTTTCCTAGGAAATACAGATGTGTTTCTCCTTGTTGCTGCTCCTCCACCTCTGGCACAGGGATATCCTGCCTTTGAGAAAAGGGCTCGTGAGTTATAAGTAACTGGGGTGCTTTTAAGCATGAAAGGATACATTGCTAATCAGCATGCTGAGCAAACAGAGATGAGTGGTCACCATGATTAGAAGCAGGAGTCTAAAGGAGCCTAGCAGATGCCTGGGATTTTTTAGGACCTCTCCTGTCTGTGCTTCAGGAATGAATGGATTTACCTTCTGTGACTATGAGTCATGCCTGGGGTCTGGTCTCTGGGCAGTGGCAGGTTCCCCGCATTGTGGCCAGAGCAACCCTGGGCATGCTGTTTCTCTTTTCCAGTTTTCCACGTTCTTTCTCAGGGATGAGGGACACCCATGCTGCCCTGGTTTTCTGAGCACTCTGTCTCAGTTAGTGCAGTATGTCTCAGGAGAGTAGATACTCAGTGACCCCAGCCATTGACCCAAGGCCACTGGGGCTAGCTGGGAAGGGCTCTGGAATCCCTGGGAGCCCTTAGGCCTGGGACTTCCAGGGTTAAATCCTGGCCCAGCAGGAGTTCTCCCAGCTCCTGAGGTAGAGTGAGTGTGAATAACAATTACAGTGGGAAAATAAAGCTGGAAAGCCTAGGCCTACTGAGTGGGGAGGGGGTTGCTGGGTACCAGGGAGGGCAGAGCCTAATCTGGCACCTTACTTGGCAGCACCTTGCTTTGGGTTAGGGCGTATATGAGGAATGAGCCACTCAGTGGTCTCTGACCACCGACAACTCTCCTCCCCACTACTCTGTTGCCTTGGCCATAACAGCTTCTAGCGCACACCTGGCTCTGGCCTCCCTCCCAGAATGGGGTCCAGGCTGCCCCAGGTATGTTGGGGATGGGGGAAGTGTTTGACAAGCAAAGTTAGGGGATGGTGCCTGGGCATGGGCATTTTTTTTGTCAGGGGCTCTGGGCTTCCTGGTACTCGCGCCATCCTGCCTCTTGCCTGGAGTCTTGCCTGTCAGGTAGAAGACCTGCAGAATAGGGCAGGATTAATAAGACAGCTCCCATTAGCCTCCTGAGTTAGTTCTTCTCCATGATATTTTCTTTTCCCAGCTCTTAGTGGCTATTGGAGGAGTTAAAGATGTACCACACTAGTGTGTGGTCTCTGTGTTTTCCCCCCAAAATTGCTGGCCCTGGCTTTACTGACATTCTTTCCCTAGGCACTAGCACTATTTAGGCTGCCCTTCCCTGGAATCCCCTGAGTCAAGGTGGGTCTGGCTCCTAGGGCTGGCTGAAACCTCCCCTGACCACCGACTCCTCAAAGCCAGGCTTTCACCCTTCCTTGGCTTTTCCAGCAAGACCAGCTTATAGCTGTCAGCCCTACATGCTCAGCAGGGTGTCCTCACAAGCTGGACTCTGCCTCCTCCATGGCCCAGCAGGCAGCTTCCTCATCTCAACTCCTCACTGTCTATGTCCTTATCATCCTATGGCCAATCTCAGAAGCCCCATCAAGGGGGAGGGGGTTGGTAATATTTTTGAAGAAATAGATGGATTCCCACCACCCAAGCCCCCATCCTGGCTCAGTGTCTTCAGAGCCTCTTCCTGGCTAGAAAACAGTAGCTAGCTGGAGAAAAACAATCAGAGAATTAAGAGCTTAGCCCCTAGTTGCTCCTGTCTGCTGACCCTGGGGCCTGCATTGCTCTGTAGGCTCTCCCAGGGCTTAGTTCAAAGAAGGGCCCTAGGCTAAAAGAAGAATGGGGCAGCCCTAGCTGGTTTGGCTCAGTGGATAGAGCGTAGGACTGAAGGGTCCCAGGTTCGATTCTGGTCAAGGGCACATGCCCAGTTTGTGGGCTCAATCCCCAGTAGGGGGTGTGCAGAAGGCAGCCAATCAATGATTCTCTCTCATCATTGATGTTTCTGTCTCTCCCTCTCCCTTCCTTTCTCGAATCAATAAAAATATATTTAAAAAATAAAAGAAGAATGGGGCAGCCATTCCTTGCACAGCTGCTGATACCCTGACCTCATTGAACTTTTGCACTGTGGAAGAGGATACCATGAAAATCCAGGCTGGAGATGGGTGAGGGTAGGCCGGAGTTACTGTAGGTGGGGCTGGATAGGCTGCAGTGGGGGGAAAAGCAGGGCAGGGCAGGCTTTTCTCATTGCCTTCCTTCTGTCCTGCAGATTGGAGGTACTTCATGACACACACTCGGAGGAAGTCCCTTCCCATGCTGAGTTCGGGCCCCATTGGCCGCCGGGAGCCCCTGCAAATGGAAGGCAGCAATATGGAGCAGGGGGCGGAGGGTATGGACCCAGGCATGCCTGAGAGCCCAGGGCACCTCACAGGGCGCCGCAAGAACTACCCACTGCGTAAGCGTCCCTTGGTTCCTGAGAAGCCCAAGGCCTGCAAAGTGCTGCTGACTCGCCTAGAAAATGTGGCTGATCCACGGAGTGCAGATGAGGCTGATGAGCTGCCCCCTGACCTTCCCAAGCCCCCCAGCCCGGATCCATCCAGTGAGGACACTGGCCTCACCCAGCCCCGCAAGCGGCGCTTGGCCTCCCTCAATGCCGAGGCCCTGAATAACCTGCTGCTGGAGCGGGAGGACACCAGCAGCCTGGCGGGCAGCCGCCGAAGTCGAGGCGGAGACCACCACCACAGTCGGGACCGTGACAGGGCCACTGGAGGCTGGTCTTCCTCCAAGAAGCGGCCACGACTGGAGGACCGCGGAGGAGAAAGTCGGGATCTGTCCCCAGAGCCAGCACCGGATGAAGGTGCCCGCCGAGATGGTGACCTAGCTCCCAAGAGACTGGCCAGCCTGAATGCAGCTGCCTTCCTAAAGCTGAGCCAGGAGCGGGAGCTACCCCTGCGGCCACCTCGTGCCCACACAGAAGCAGACAGGCGCTCCACTGAGCCACCAGCACTGAAGGCTCTGAGGCCAAAGTGGGCCAAAGTCAATGGCAAGAACTATCCCAAGGCCCAGCAGGGGGTTGGCTCTGGGGAGGCTGCAAGCCCACCCAGCTGGCAAGGGTGCCCTGAGGAGCCATGGTTATCTGCAACCCCTCATGGACCATCCAACCAGCTACCTTACCAGCCCCTGAGCAAGGCTCTGGAGAGCCCCTTAGGGCTGCGCCCCCACTTGCCCCTGCTGATGGGTGGACAGGCAGCCCTGAAGCCAGAGCCTGGGCGCCCAGGAGAGGAGTCACCTGCTCCCAAGCAGGAACTGCACCAGCCCTCTTTCCCTACACCCCAGCTGTCCCTCCTGCCTATGCCTGGCAACCCCGCCGACTACAGTGGGCTGTGTGGTCGGCCTGAGCTCACTGCGCTAGGCAGCTTCTACCTGTATTGCAGCCAAGATGGGCTACAGTGTGGGGGCTACTCCCCATGCCCCATGCTCCCCGAGGGCAAGCTGTCCCCTGTGGCTGCACCTACCGAGGGGCCCCTCGTGGCCCCGAGCTCAGTGCCTGCGGGCACACCTTTCCTGCACCCTCCCTGGGGCTCTCACTACTGTTCCAGTGAGGATGCTGAAGTGAATGGCTATAGCATCTGTGAAATGTTGCCCCCTTCTCTTACCCACATTGGCACTACCTGTGGCGGCTGTTCCTACAAAATGCCTTTTGCAGCAGGTAAGCCTTCCTGAGGATGGGATGTACTAGAGAGTCTCTGAGACACTGTCCCAGGAGGGTGGGTTGTGGGCTCCTTGAGGTGCTACTGCATGGGAGGTAGGGGGCTTTGAAAGGGGAGGACTTCCCTTGTTTTGTGCCCCAAGCCTAGGAGCAGTTCCAGGAAAGGGGCCAGTGTTTAGCTTTTAGCAGCCCTGCTCTGTCCCCACTGTCTATGGAGAGATTTCTTGGCCTGACAGCATTGGCTGCCATAGGTAGCATTGTTGTGGTGGAGGGGACAGGAGGGGCCTCTTCCCTCCCCATTGGGATTGCCAATCTTAGACTCTGAGTAGCAAGTTGTTAAAATTAGGGCTTTTGCCAAGTTGTTTCCATGTCCCTTCTGTCCTCCTTGAAGAAAGCTAGAATTCCTTACTTTCCAGGAGCCCAGACCATCTGCATGCCAGCCAAGTACAGCATTCATAGAAAGGGTGGGGGTTACAAGGTCCAGTAGGTGATGCCAACTGCAGTAGAACAGCTTTACCCTGGCTATACAGGCTTTGAAAGAGAAGAAGTGCCCAGACTTAGCATCACCTTGCTAGGGGTGGATAGGGTGGGCACACTCTAAGAACAGACAGAGTTCCCTGGCACTGACAGGGTGCTCACAGGGCCTGTGGCTTTGGTGTCTGCCTTCCTGGCAAGACCCAGACACCTGAGAGGCTCGTGATACAGCTGATGAGACACCCCCACAGTGATCTCTCTTCCCCCAAATTGGCAGGAGTGTCCTCACATGCTTCTCCAGGCTCCCTTCCTGGCTCCTGAGTGGAAACAAGGTGACCAGAGCCATCCTGGCTGGCAAGTTGGCCCTGCTGCTGGTGAAGTGAGAGGCCAGGCCTTCCCAGGCTTCCCCTCCCTCACACCCCTCTTGTAGGGGGGTCTATAAAACAATTTTATAGACCAGTTGACTCTGGCCAGACTGGTTGTTTCAGCTTCTGGTGTGAGTTGGAGTTCTTAGAAATGAGAACAGGCTTCTTCTCGGGCTTTTCCTTCTCTTTTGGATCACTTTCCAAGTCTAGACACCTAACCTGTGGGACCCAAGGTCCTTACCCTCTTGTCCTGGGACCGTGTGGAAGCACCATGTGCCAGGCACAGTTCTAAAGCACTTTACAGATGGGAGGCCACCTGGCATGTAATTGAGCATAGACTGTGGAGCCAGACTTAGAGCGAAATGTTCTCTCCCACTTCCTTAGTCACGTGACTGGGACAAGCCAATAACTATTCAATGTCTCAGTTTCCTTAATTGTAAAATAGGAATAATGGTCCCTTTCTCATAAGGTTGTTGTAAGGATGAGGTGAGTTAATACATTGATAAGAAAAACACCTAGGCCCTAACTGGTTTGGCTCAGTGGATAGAGCGTCGGCCTGCGGACTGAAGGATCCCAGGTTCGATTCCAGTCAAGGGCATGTACCTTGGTTGCAGGCACATCCCCAGTAGGGGGTGTGCAGGAGGCAGCTGATTGATGTTTCTCTCTCATTCATGTTTCTAACACTCTATCCCTCTCCCTTCCTCTCTGTAAAATAAATAAATAAAATATATATATATAAAAAAAAAGAAAAATACCTAGAACAGACTACATATTTGCAACTACTACTATTGCAAGGCACTGAGAGGTCAAGGGACTTGCCTGAGGTCACACAACTAAGTGGCAGGTTTGGGATTCATATCCTGAGCTGTCTGATTCCAGCTCCTCTGCTCCTAAGCACTGTGGAAGCTTTAGAGGAGATTAAATCAGAGCTAGGAAAGCTGTTCCCATTATCCACCGCCTTCTTTCAGGTTAGAAGGGGAGATGGAGATGACTGTGGCCCAGTCTCCAAGGTCAAGAAACATCGTTGGCTAGTCACTCTGACAATCCACTTTAAAGGCCCCTGACCCAACTTTTCACCTCTGCAGCCTTTGGGCTCACACTTAGAATTAAAATAGGAGCAGGTTCTGAAAGCAGAGAGGCCAGGGTGGGGTTACTGCTTGTCCTTACTTGTCCTGACCTTCTTTCTCCTTTTCCCAGAAGGCTGCAGGTCCCTGGGCCAGCTGGAATTTCCTCTTCCAGAAGCTGGCCACCCAGCCTCACCTGCCCACCCCCTCCTGGGATGCCCTGTGCCCAGCGTGCCACCTGCAGCAGAGCCCGTCCCTCATCTTCAGACACCCACCTCAGAGCCTCAGACAGTAGCCCGTGCATGCCCTCAGAGCGCCAAGCCTCCTAGTGGCTCCAAGTCAGGTTTACGCACAGGCTCCAGCTGTAGGCACACTGTGAGGAGCAAGGCTGCCCGCAGGCCCAGCCACCCCAAGCAACCACGTGTCCAGCGCCCACGCCCACGCCGCCATCGCCGCCGCCGCACTAACGGCTGGGTACCTGTTGGGGCTGCCTGTGAGAAGGCGGTCTATGTCTTGGTGAGTACCAGCTCTTAGCTGATGGGGGAAGAGAGGGTGACATTGGGGACATAGGACCTGAAGTGAGTTGCATCTCAGGAATCTTGGCTCCAGCTACTCTGAAAGATGACAAGGGGCTCCAGCTCACTTGTGCTCCAGGAACCAGTCATGCTGGCCCAGCCTGCTCCCCTGTCCTGTACTGATCCTGTACTGTGCACCTCGGGGAGGTCAGAGGATGCACACAGACAGCTGGTGGCTGCCATCTCTGTCTTGGACTCTCAGGGAAGTTATCTGAAGTGTTTTCATCTCTCATCCCTGCTCATGCTGTCCCTTCTATTCTGGATTTTAAAATGGAGGACTTTCACTCATCTAGGTGGCTCAGTTGGTTGGAGCGTTGTCCTGTACATCAAAAAGGTTGCGGGTTCGATTTCCACTCAGGGCACATTCCTAGGTTGTGGGTTCAATTCCCTGTATGGGAGGCAACCAATCAATGTTTCTCTCTCTCCCAAATCAATAAAACATATCTTTCATAGAGGCTTTTTGGGTAAGTATGTGTATGGAAAACTGGGATAGGCAGAGAAAATCAGTGATATAGGAACATCTGGGATGATGAAAAGGATGTCGACTAAAATTTACTGAGCACTTCTGAGGTGCCAGAACTGTGCTAATTACATGCATTATCCGCTTTCATCCTTACCACTACCCTATGAGGTACATACCCCATGTTCCTATAATTATCCTCATTTCACAGATGAGGAAACTGAGGCTTAGCAGTAGTAATTAATTTACCTAAGGCTACACCACCTACAGTGGTGGTTGAAGGGCCAAACCTGGACTATCCCATTAGGAAGCTTGAGGACCTACCCAGTGCTGGGGGTTGGAGTGAGTCGGTTATTGGGGTATGGTAGTCAGGGTGCAGCCGCACAAGCCTTTTTATATCATTGCTTTATTGCACAGGATGAACCAGAACCAGCCATTCGAAAGAGCTACCAAGCGGTGGAGCGACATGGAGAGACCATTCGAGTCCGGGATACTGTCCTCCTCAAGTCAGGCCCACGAAAGACGTCTACACCTTATGTGGCCAAGATCTCTGCCCTCTGGGAGAACCCTGAATCAGGTACCCCCACTTCCTGGAGTTTGACCTGGCACTGGTCTCCCCGTGTTTTTGGCACAGTTTGCCTTCCACTCATCCGGGGTCTGTCTGCTACCGAGGGCTACAGACAGATGGCCTTGTCGCTTAGGTTGCATCAGCTCATTAACCTTTCCAGCCACCAGAACCTGGGCACCTCTCCCCCTTCCTCACCTGTCATTGCTTTTCCCCCCTTCTCCCTTCATACCTAATGGCATTCCAGGCTTCTGAATGCCAGGCTTGGCTTGAGGCAGAGGCTCAGCACTGGCCCAGCACTGAAGTTGGATGAGCCTCCAGGGCAAGTGGCCAGCCTGCCTGCCGAAGTAACTCTGGGGTTGCCAGCTCAAGCCTTGACTGCTTCTCTTGTACCCCCAGGAGAGCTGATGATGAGCCTCCTGTGGTATTACAGACCAGAGCACTTACAGGGAGGCCGCAGTCCCAGCATGCACGAGGTGAGTTACCAGGCAAATGGAATGGGGAAGGCAGGGTTTGGCAGAAGGAGAGGTGGTAGCATAAGGAGGTGATACGGGGTGGACAGCCATGGGTAGTCAAGTCCCTAGACTTGTTACCTTGGATACCAGAGAACTTGGGGAAGGGCCTGGGTTTCAGCCTCTTTTCCCCAATTCATGTTTCAAAGGGTTAGGGGAAGTGGAGTGGCACACCTAGCCCCCTTTGATGCTGTCTGCAGCATGAGAGGGAGGGGGAGAAAGACTGCTCCTAACATTCCTTAGCACCATACCCAGTGGTGTGCTGGAAGTGGTAATACCCTCTGGATGTGGTTCCTACCACCCCCCCCCCCCCCCCCCATCTGAGCCTGCTTTTACTCTTTCCCTCTGGGACTTTTTGGGAAGATGCACACTGACTCCCCCTCCTCCCCTGGCTGGGGGTTAGGAAGCTTAATGAGGGGCTGGAGGGGGTACCTGGGTTCCCCAGGTGCTCCCTCAGAATCTGGGAGGAATGCCCTGGGGTTCCAGGTGAGGAGATGTTAGGCTCACATTCCAGGGAAGCTCCCTGGCTTTCTGGGCACCAGCTGGAGCGATCTCGGGTCAGGAGTCTCAGCAGAGGGGTTGGCGTTAACGTCCACTTTCCCCTGGAATTAAGTGCTCCCAACCCCGGTAACTGATCTCCTCTCTCCCCTTGAGCCTTTGCAGAATGAAGTCTTTGCATCGAGACATCAGGACCAGAACAGTGTGGCCTGCATCGAGGAAAAGTGCTATGTGCTGACCTTTGCAGAGTACTGCAGGTGGGTGGTGGCCTGTGTCTCTGGCTAGCCTCTCCCCTCAGACTCTTCAGGGCTATTGGGGGCTGCCTGTAATCTCACTGGGCCTGACCTCCCAGAAGGTTCTTCTTTACAGCCTGCTTCTGCCATCTAATATTTTTAGAAGAAAAAAAAATTGTTGCTTGTCTGAGGCAGAGTGGTTGGACAGAATTGGGGGTGGTTACAGTATGGCTCTCAGAAAATACCAAGGAGAATTGGCAGGTGGTCATGAGGGAGGCCTTGGCAGGTGTTTCCCCAGTGACAGACTGGCAATTGGCAGAGAGGGTGTAGCCCCTAGGACAGGTGAGGCAGCACCAAGTGGGGGGTGAAGGCTACTTTTCAGCTCTCTGAGCAGGGAAGGGAAGGGAAGGGAAGGTCTTTCTGCAAAGGTGGCTTTGATAAAGGTGAATGGTGTGTCACTGCAGATTCTGTGCCATGGCCAAGCGCAGAGGCGAGGGTCTACCCAGCCGAAAGACAGCACTGGTGCCCCCCTCTGCAGACTACTCCACTCCGCCACACCGCACAGTACCCGAGGACACGGACCCTGAGCTGGTGTTTCTTTGCCGCCACGTCTATGACTTCCGCCATGGCCGCATCCTCAAAAACCCCCAGTAGCCTCCTCCTGCCCATGGGCAAGTGGGGCTCGGGCCAGGGGGCATTGCTTGAAGCACAGCACTTGGTTAAGGGGCCACAGGGACCCGAGGTTGCTGGCCTGTGGTTCTCTTGGGGGGAGGGCAAGGGCCCCTGTGGGTTCTGGGTCTTATGGGAGGGAAGGGGTATAAGAAAAGCATCAGAGCCCACAGCTTGGTCCAGGGTACCTCTCTGTGGTCCCTGGGCAGAGACTCCTGAAGAAGGCAGTCTTCCCTGAGGCTGGGCCAGGCTTGAGGGGCATGGGACCCTGGGGGGAGGAGGAGGTCCTTCAGGAACCAGGCCCAACAGGCCATTCTTTATCCTCCTCTGGGCCCTTCAAGGGATAGTGGGAGCCAGCTTTACCTCACCCACTGTGACCTGCTGCTTCCCCATCAGCCTGGGACCAGCCTCTTTCAGATTCTAGCACTGCTCCCAGCTCATTCCTTTGAGGCATAGAGAGCCAGAGTCTGGCTTCCAGAGCATTGACTTCCTCTTCCTGGATTCAGGGCCTTTCCCTGGCTTTCCTCCTTTGCCCCTGCAATAGCCCCTGGTGCTGGGACAAGTTACCTGGCCCTCAGAGTCATGGGTGTCAGCTTCCTGTTTGCCACCCAGCAGGTCTGGCTTCCCTGAAGTTAACTGATCAACATGGGGTTTTTCATGTCTGGGAGGGCAAAAGGGAGCTAGGAGGGGGTGGGGGACAGGGGCAAGGAAAATTGCTACCTGATTTATTGAAGACTTTTCCTCATGCCTTACACTTGGAGGTTCTAGGAAACCTCTTGCAGAACTTCACACATGACTCTTCAAGCTACACCCACCTGAAATCAAACCTGCCTTTATTACAATATGTTGTCATGAGTCCATTTGTGTTGTCCCACAGCATAGCAGATCCAGCCCCAGGGACAGCCCCATAAGGCAGCAAGCAGGGCTGGGACCCCAGAATCTGGTAAGGCATGAGGTGGCACTGGGCTGAGAGGTGGTTTGGGGCCTGGGGAAGGCTGTTCTCTCTGGCCCAGCTGCAGCCCACAGTCTGGGTGAGGGCTCAGAATGGCCTGGAGCTCCTGAGCCTTATCGCCAGGCGGTGAGCCCAGTGGAGTGGAAGCTGTCAGTGTGCTGTTGGGCCAAGAATGTCAGGAGCAGCAGCATTGCAGCCTTGGTGTCTGGTGGGATCTTGTCATCAGCCTGAATGAGGCTACAGATGTGCAGGAGCCCAGGAGCCACATCTACAACCTGGTCAGGGCTGCTCTGGTATAGGAAGCTGAAGCGGTGCCCTATGGTGACCCACCCCTCCAAGTCCTCCTTCAGTGGGGCTCTGGCTTTCTTGTGGGACTGGCCATCAGTAGATGGGTGAGTGCCCCACAGATAACATGGACATGATCGCAATGCTCCCATGCCAGGAGGGTCAACAGGAGGCCCACCAGCTTGGGGAAGTATTCCTGGGCAGGGCAGCCCCTGTGATCAGCCAGCACACCCAGCCCGAAGATGGCATTGCTCTACACTTGGGAGTCTGCCTCCCAGGCAGCGCTCAGCAGGATGGGGAACAGGTGGGACACAAACTGGTCTGAGGCAGCACCCAGGCCCTTAATAGACTCCCCACTGCAAAGGACTTATCTGCCACTGTGCAGCCCTGTTTCGTCTTGCAGAGCAATAATGGCAAAGACCCAGCAAAGAAGGGGGCAAAAGCGTCTTCCCCAGCCGCAGCTGCCAGGGCAGGAATGGCCTCACCAGCGTCATTTTCAGCCTGGTCCTCGTCCTCATCAGTGCCCTGACAGGCTGTCTTCCTCTGCAGCATGGCCTTGAGCGTGTTGCAGAGCTCACTGAAGCGCCCAGGGCGCTGCAATGTGAGGGTCCCAGAGCTGCGCAGCACCCGTCAGGGCCTCCAGCACGGCCATCAGCACTGTCACCATTTGGCACTCCCACTCCCCGTATACTGCCTGCATGTAGGACAGTACCACCTCGGCCAGGGTGGCCTGCAGAGCAGCAGTGTTGGGTTCTAAGGGGCAGCTTTGACAGGCCTTGTGCAGTGCACAGCAGAACTGACCCAGAGCCTCATGGGCTGCCTTGCACACACTCAGGTGAGGGCTTCAGAGCTTTGAATACTTCTTCAAAGATACTCTCCATGTAGGGAAGGGAGGCCACGCTGGTGTTCCCCTTGTCCTGCCACCCCTCACCCTAGTCTTTTGTAGATTGCACTAATTTACATCCCAGTGAAAAAAAAACACTGAATCAGTCCACAGACCTGCTGAGCTGCAGCCACTCACTCTAGGAACTAAAGACCCCATTTTGTTCTTGTTGCCCAGGGGCCCTGCTCTCAGACTGCTCCCCAGAGTAGATTAGGAGACTCAGCCCCCTGTTGTCATTTCCAGAGCTAGGCCCTACCATGAAGTTCTCTATGGGAGGGCTGGAGCAGCCTGGTTCTTCCCTGTTTGTACCAAAGAGGAGCATGTGGGGAGGGAGAAGAGCCCTGTGTGGCTTGGACCTGGTGCTGGGAGCCTGCTTGTGAGCACATCCCTGGGGGCAGGAGCCAAGGAGGGCAGCCCTGGGTCCTTTACCCCCACAGGGGCAGACACGGACCCAGCAGGCTGAGTAGGTGGCATTGGGAGGTGGGGGGGTCAGGCCAGGTCTGTAGGAGATGGAAGTGAATCCTGAGGGCACTCCCAGCAGCCCTGACCCTATGTTCTTCCTGAGAAAACTGGGCTGCTCCTGCTTGGTCATTGAGGTGGGGGAGGCCTGGATGTTTGAGGTGAATTTACACAGGAAAAGCCCAATCCCAAGCCTGAAGAGAAGGAACTCAGGTTCCCTTGAATGGAATAAGCTGTTTGGAGGAAGGCATCGGTCTAGGAGGGCTGTGCAGTAGGAGAGGTTGGCAGAGTAGGGGCTCTGAAGAGCCAGTCTTGGAGCCTGCTGATTCCCAGGGTGCTGGGCCCTTGCCACCTAGGAGCCCAGCCCGACCCAGCAGGAGAAATCAAGGCCCTTCCTCCCAGGGTCTGCTACCCAGAACTTAAATGCTTTTGAAATCTCTTAGATGTGGAAATATTTTTTCGAACCTGAAAATGCAGCTGGTAGAATTTCAATGGAGCATAATTCATGTAAAATATATTTTAGTTGATAATTTTGTAAAATGCACTTTTTGTGTGTGTCGACCCTGGTTTCTCAGATCTGTATTTCAGTGTTTACAAGGGAGGGAGGATCTTTCCTCACCTCCCTTTTGACAGAGATTAGAAGTACTTTAAGAAAAATAAATTTGAGAAATTGTATTGATTTAGAAAAGGATCATTTTCTGTGTGTCCTGTCATCTTTTTGTGTGTGGGTGCAGGGGCGCTCATTGCTTTGGGGGTCCCTTTTAACCCTTGCAGTGCAGGGGCTTAGAGATCAAGAAAGTAGAGGGAGGAGAGGAGACGGAATGAGAGTTGACTTGTTAGCACCGTGGTGGCCAGAGCCACCTCCCTGGACTGAAATCTTTGGGTTGCCAGCCCTCATCAGGCTGGTGACCTGGGAACTGGTCAGTGAAGATAGATAGCACCTCATCACCTTAGGCCATACCCTTGGGAAACTGGCCAGCAGGAATTGGCCTAGAGCCCCGATACCTAGGTACTGGTACTCTGCTGAGGGAATGATGGTTCATCCTATGTGCTCATATTGTTAGGATTGAGGGGCAACCAAGAGACTTCTAGCTTCATTTCATCCCTCAACCCCTCATCCTTCTGAATTCATCTGATCAGTGGTAGTGCCATTCTCCCACTAAACTCAAAGCCTCTGGACTCTACTGATCCATCACCCACCCCCTCAGTACAGTGTGTCCTGGGTCAGCTACTTCCTCCTTCCCAACCATTCTACTTTTGTACTCCATCTCTGAAGCATGGAATTCAGGTTTTAGAATCAGGCCGATCCATAGAGTCTCAGCTTCCTGGAGCCTGTTTCTTCAGCTGCACAGTGGGAAATGCCCGTGACATCTCACTCCCAGGGTGACTGTGACAAATGAAGGAGAGAATACAAAGACCTGCCTCAAGAAGTGTGGATTCTCAACAGTACTACTGTGCTTCAGAGCTCCCTGGCTCTCCACACATGACAGGATGAAGTCTGGGTACTTAGCAAAGAACCCAGTTCAGGTGGGGAAAGGCTGGCCACTGACATCCAGGGCATTCCCCCATCAGCCTCTAGCCCAGGTGGCCAACCTGGTGCCTTTGAGCATGTGTTTGGCTCCAGGCAAGGAAGCTCTGTCCCTGCAGCTGCTCACCCTTCAAAATGTGAGCTGACCACATCGTTGGTCAGAAGGCACCAACTTGTCATTGGCTCCTCACTAGTTATCCCACCTCTTCATGCCTGGGGGAGGGATATTCAGCATTACAGTGGATAAACGCTAATCGGCCAGGTAGTTAAGTTTAAGGGTCACCATGGAGAGGAGCCCCTGGTCAGTGGAGTGGCCAGGACAGGGGGAGTACACTGGGGGCTCTGCTCCAAGCTAGAAACGGGCCTCCCAAAAGTTTGGACTCGAGTGCTGGGAGGGGGTGGGGGCTCCTCCAGCTGTTAGAAGGGAAGGGCTCAGCCAGCCAGCGTGTGCGGCAGGGTGTAGAGTGCAGGTCCTCTCCGTCCAGCTCCCTGAAGGCACTCGCCGGGGCCTGGATCTTTTTTGCCTTCGGGACCTCGTCAGTTTTTGCCTCCAAAATCGGAGGACCAGAGTGGACCTGCATTAGGCGCAGGTAGGGGTCTGCTCGCGCTCGCCCAGCCCGCTCCCAGCAGGGGTGTCCGCCCCTCTCTCCGCCTCCGGCTGGGCCCGCCCCCGCGCCTGTGTCACCGCGGGGCTGGGGGTGGAGAGCTGTCGGGCGGGACATCCGGCCCCGTTCTCTCCCTGCGCTCTCCCGCCGCCCGCCTGAGCTGTTTCACGCGTGGTTGGGTATGCCTCTATCCCGGGCAGAAAAAGGGATCTATACATACTAAAAGATATTTATAACCTACTTCCCTGGTTTAATTACAGCGAAGTCGAACCTTCCATTGTGCTCCAGGTTGGTGCCTCTGAGTCCGGTTTCTTCTTTAATTTGATCCAACCCT